CAAGTCCTTTCCATTAGAGAGACTGGGGTGCGCGGTGGGAGTCAAATCTTCATATTGAAACGTCGTATTCGCTATGCAACCTAGAGAAATATTTTTGTAGAACGAGAAAAATATTCCGCGCACCAGCTTGTAGCTACAAATTAATTTGTTGCATAATTCTACTGCCTTTTTTTCTTCTTCTTTCTGAAACTATTGTGTGTCGTTGAGAAAAAAAAAGTGTGTACACAACAAATTAGATCAATATATGTTCTTACTAAATGCTTTGTATTTCCGTTTGAGTGCAATACATAACTTGCAAATTCCGTGCGATGCCTCCCACGGAACGGAACTACAAGTGATCAGGGGACTCTAATCTTTATCCACAACCGTTGGATGGAGTACTATTACTTAATGTAATGTTATTTCGTCGTTTCTTTCAACCCCTCTTCCTGTTACAGTCTCTAACACGGCTAGTGCTGCGACAGACACAGCTCTTCCTTTCCAGGATCTCGACCCCTATGAGAGCACTGTCCGCAAAGAGCGCCGCAGGTCTGCTCGCGACCACTCTGTCTCCAAGGACCAGCTGCCAAGGAGACCAGATACTCCCCCATGCTCGCCAGAGCTGTCAAGGCCAAGGCTGCTCGCCTCTCCACCTCCGACATCGGCTCGGCCATTGGCTGTGCTATCCAGGACGCCCGCCTCGACGCTGCAGACGGCCCTCCCGCCTCTACTGAAGACTTGGCCACCACGCTCCTCTGTGGCGCCGACGATGGCCACCTCGACGCCATCCTCTCCTCCGAGGATGCTGCCTCTGGTGATGATGCCGCGCCATGATTGCTGCCCCAGCCATGCACGGAGCCCGGACGGCGGGGGCGCACTGGAAGTTTCCGTACGTTACTGTTGGTTGCTACGTGTGTCATGTCGCGCTGCCCTTTTGGACTCGGGTCGTGTTGCCTTTTGCTTGGCATTCTGCTGTCTCATCTGATGTAGTAGGTCTCTTGTACTCCTCCACGCTTTTTTGCGGTCTGTATGTGGTGTCAACAAGAACTTTTATGAGTAATGATGTAATCTCTATTTGCTCCTGAAATGTCCGTGGTCTAGGCGATGACGATAAATGTGCCGTTGTCCTTTCTGAACTCTTAGCAATCAACCCTCACATTGCCCTCCTACAGAAATCTAAACTAGAATCTTACACTAACGCCAAGTTACGTTCTTACCCTTCCACCTCGACCAAGCCTCTCCACTGCCCGCCATTGGCACGGCCGGCGGCACCATCACGGCCGTTAACTCCTCCTCTCTCCAGGTCTTGCACTCACACAAATATTTCTCCTCCACCGTCATCCTAAGATCAACTGCATGTGCCCTCGACATCGCCATCACTAACATCTACGCCCCCTCTACACATGCCCAAAAACAAGCATTCTTCGATGAGCTCCACTCCATCACACGACCAGACGATATTCCTTGGATCGTTCTTAGCGACTTCAACCTCCTACGCTTCCCCTCAGACAAAAACAACTCCACCTTCCGACAGTCGGAAGCAAACGCTTTCAACCACGTTATCGACACTCTGGCCCTCATTGAACTGCCACTCCTCGACCGATAATTTACGTGGTCCAACAACCGATCCTCGCCTACTTTGGAAAGAATCGATCATGCCTTCTTTAATCTCACGTGGGCAGATGCTTTCCCTAATACCTCCCCGTCCTCTCTCACACGATTCACCTCTGACCACGTTACGCTGCTCGTACACGTCACCACCAAGATTCCACGTTCCAACTTCTTCAAATTCGAGCCCGGTTGGCCCAATTTTCGCCCATGCAATGTTATCATCTCTAGGTGCTGCCCACCCTCGCCCTCCACTTCAACCAACTCGGCTGCTATCCTCGCCGTAGCCCTCAAAAAATCAAGATCTGAACTGAAAGCTTGGGCTCGCTCCCGCATACCCACCCCTCTCCGCGAATCACGCTGCAAAGCAGCCATCTCGGCCCTACATCATGCAGAAGAACGCAGGCCCCTCTCGCAAATCGAGCTCCTCACTCGCAAGATCATCGTCTCTCTTCTCAAATGCACCATCCAAGAGAAGTTGATGTACTGGCGTTGGCATGCCAAGGTTTCCCGGGCTATCAATGGTGGTGAAAACACAAAATTCTTTCATGTCTCCGCCTCACAATGCCTTAGAAAAAACAAAATCTTTACTCTCACTCACAATGGCCATGATTTCTCCTCTCATCACCAGAAGGCCAAAATCCTCCGTGATTTCTTTGATATCCCTCATTGGTACGCATATCAATACGTCATGGGTGTTTGACCTCTCTCAGATCTACCCTAACCCCACCCCTGGCCTACATGTCTTGCATGACAACTTTTCGGAATCAGAAATAAAAACATCGTTCTTTCAAATGAACCCACTCCCCACGTTAAGCTAGTACTTGTTATTGCACCAGGAGCTGTTACGCCAGGCGCAGTAGTATGGATATTTTGTACCCATTGAGCAAAGATAGGTAGGCCAATCCTGGCCCAGATGGTTTTGGGTCTGCGTTTTACCGTAAATATTGGTCCATTGTTAAAAGCATCGTTCTTCCTTTCTTCTCCTAATTTCATCAAGGCACTGCCGACACGAAACGTGTAAACCGGGCTCACATTGTTCTTCTCACTAAAAAGGATCTGCCCACCTCCCCCGACGCTTTTCGACCTATCTCGCTCCAAAATTTCCCAATCAAAGCAGTCGTCAAAGTGTTGACCACTCGTCTCAAGCCCTTCATCCCCTCGCTAGTTCATGCCAATCAGACAGGGTTCATACCAGGGAGGAATATCGCTAAGAACTACATATTCGCTACCGACCTTATCAGCTCATGCCACACCAAGAAAAAGCTTACTATGGTTTTCAAGCTAGATTACCAGAAAGCCTTCGACTCCGTCGCTTGGCCTGCACTTGACAAGATCCTCCTAGCCCAGGGTTTCTCCCACATCTTCCGCAGCTGGATCCAGAACATCCTCATTACGGGCAAAACTGCCATTCTTTTGAATGGTGTCCCAGGCAACTGGATAGACTGCAAAAATGGCCTATGGCAGGGCGACCCCATCTCCCCCTACCGTCTAATCGTAGCAGACCTGCTCCAACAACTTGTCGTCAGAAACACACACACCTCGCTCCACCACCCCATCTTCTCTCTTCTCCCCCACCGTCCTCCAGTACGTAGGCGATACTCTGATCGTTGCCACCGCCTCTCCTGATGCCGCTGCAACCCTAAAAGTAATCCTAACTAACTTCGCCAACACCACTGGGTTAACCATCAACTTCTCCAAAACCACGCTTGCAACCCTACACATAGATGATACTTCTGCTAACGACATCGCCCTTGCCATGGCCTGCTCACGCGCCTCCTTCCCCAAAACTTACCTTGGCCTCCCCCTCTCCCCTACTAAACCTCCATCCAATGCCTTCGATCCCATCCTAGAACGCTCCCGCAAGCTGCTGGCTGGCTGGCGCGCTAAGCTACTTGACAAAGGCGATCGCCTCATTCTTATCTACGTAGTCCTAGACTCCCTACTTACCTACTTCATGTCAGTCTTCCATTTCCCAAAAAAAGTTTTAAAAACCCTAGACTCCATTTGCAGAGCTTTCTTCTGGGCAGGTGACGAGTCAGTTTCAGGTGCTCAATGCCTTATTGCATGGAAAAACGTTTGCATTCCAAAAAAAAATACGATGGTTTAGGGCTCAAAAACTTGCATCTTCAGAATAATTGCCTGCTCATGAAATTTGTTGCCAAGGCCCTCACTTCCTCCTCCACCCCGTGGCTGGATTGGTTGGATCTTCAACACCCAAATGCTCTAGTCTCACTCCCACCCCAAAACTCCTTACAGTCCATCTTCTTTGTCCTAAGAAACAGTGCGACGCACGCTTACTTCTGGCACGACACTTGGCTCACCCCAAAACCTCTAGTCCACACCTTCCCTCACTTATTCTCACACTCCACTCTTTCGCTGGTTAAGGTGGCTAATGTGCTGCGATACGGTTTAGAAGCTAACCTCCGTAACCGTCTCTCCCTCCTGGCAGAGCAAGAGCTTGTTGCGTTGTTGGCTGTTTTGCAGGATTTCGTCCCCTCGGCTGAGGAAGACCAAAGGTTTCTTCTACAGGGTCTTGCCTTCTCCACCAAGCATGCGTATGGCACACTCCTGGCACGCCCGGACTGTGATCCTCTCGCCCCCCTCATTTGGCGCTCTAAGGTTCCACGCAAGATAAATTGTTTTACCTGGCTCCTCTTCAAGGATCGACTCAACACCAGGGCCAACCTTGCCCACAAGCAGATCATCTTCACGGACATATGTCCTCGCTGTGCTATGCTACCCGAGGACTCCATGCACCTCTTACTCACCTGCCCCCTTGCCAACCGAGTCTGGCAACGGCTGGGCATTATACCTCAAGTGGAGAGCATCATCGACCTCTGGGACACTCCGATACCTCACCACCTGCCACACCAGACTTGGCCTTTTATACTCATGTCCCTCCTCTGGAAGATATGGGCTGCGCGCAATGACATGTTGTCTAGAAACATTGATCAACGTACTGTAATAACCCTTAGAGCTCTTATTTCTGACTTAGACCTTTGGTCACACCGTCTCATGGCAACATGTGACAAGGAGGACGTCTACTCGTGGCGTTCCTACCTCTCTGCACGCTGCGCCGTGCATTTGTAATTCTGTGCA